GGGAGAGAAACATGGATGTGAGAGAGAGGATTGGCTGCCTCCCGGGCACAGGACCAAGGCCAAGGTCAGCCTGTAAACAAGGTGCATGCCCTTGGAAAGAATCGAACCCGGGACCCTTCATTACAGGCTGACACTCTAACCACTGAGCCAAACCAGTGAGAGCCGAAGTACTTTTTATGCATTAACTCATTTAATGTGTTAACCACTTGATTTATTTAATCCTCTCAGCAATCCTGGGTAACAAGTACTTCTATTATCAGCATTTACAGATAGGAAAACCAAGGCACGGAGGAGCTAAGCAACTTGCACCAACGTCACACAGCTAGTAACCAGCAGGGCGGAGATTCAAACCCAGGCGATCTGGCCCTAAGCCTCTTCTTACCCACCGCACTGTACCCGTTTGCCCTGTGGAGGGTAAAGAAGGACCCAGTGTGCGCCCAAGCCGGAGGAGAGTGTTTTGGGCAGAGGGAACCAACCCTAGTGCAAAGGCCCCAAGGCAGGAACGAGCTTGGCTTATTCAGGGACGTCAGGAAACCTGTGTGCCTAAAGCAGAGGGGCGAGAGGGCTTGCTGGCCGTTAAGGAGACAGCATTTTATTCTGAGGGCACCAGTAAGGCACTGGACTTTTGAGCAGGGGAGCTGCATGCTCCAATTTATGTTTTTAAAAGCTCACTGTGGCTGCCATGTGGAGAGCAGACTGGAAAGGAACCAGGGGAAAGCAGGGAGTCTGCTGAGAAGATTGTTCCATGACCCCAGATACAAGACACTGAAAACCTACATGAGGGTGAAGACAATGGAGATACAGGGAAAGGGTCAGATTTGGGATGCGTCTGAGGATAGAGCTGAGAGGATTTGCCGATGGACTAGATTGGGGGTGGGGGTGGAATCAGGCTGACTTTTATGTTATTCTGCCTCAGTGAATGTTAGATGGTGGTGCCACTGATGGAAGAAAAGGTTGTGGGGAAGGAAAGGTTGGGAAGGGGAGAGCCACTGTGGAGTCTGCCAGCTATCCATCAAAACCCACTACCCAGCAGGGGGAGGCCTGAGGTACTCAGATCAGAACTGGATTACGTGAGAGAAAGAGCAATTCCTATAACCTTAAGGCCACTGTGTTTGGGGTTCCTTTTAGCGGCTGCTTAGCAATACAGTCATGCACAATTTTTCATCGTTGTGCAAACATCTCAGAGCGCGAGTACACAAACCCAGGTAGAACAGCCTGCTACACGCCTAGGCTGTGTGGCACAGCCTCCTGCTCCTAGGCTGCCGGCCTGGACAGCGCACAGAACAGCACGAGATTAAATCAAGCACCAGAGAAATGATGCAATCAAGAGACGTGGTAAACACGGGATGCATGAGGCTGCTGCTGGCATAACATGGAAACTGTTTTATAGCAAACGTTCTTTGTAAGTGAAAGAGTACACTAAAATAATAAAAAGTATGCTATAGTAAATATATAAACCAGTAACATAGTTGTTTATGACCATTATCAAATATTATGCACTGTACGTAAGTGCATGTGCTGTGCTTTCACGTGACTGGCAGCGAGCGCAGCAGGCTTGTTTACACCAGCATCGCCACAGACACTTGCGGAATGGGCTGTCCTACGCTGTCACTGTGCCTACTGCATCACTAGGCGATAGGAATTTTTCAGCTCCATTATAATCTTACGGGACCACTGCTGCACATGTGCTTCTTTGTTGACCAAAATGTCATGGTGTGGCACATGACTGTCCTCTAATTCAGAAACTGGTACCAGGAATGGGAAGCTGCCATGTATGAAAATGCTAGATGTGTGGTATTGGCTTAGCCATCAGGGGGTGAGCAATATGGAGGCAAACATTGGAGGGTGGAAAGCTGGTGACAAAACACTTATAAACACATTACCTGTGATCATTTGGAAGACAGACCACATGCTTACTGAGCCTATAATTCTAGAAAAGTGGTTGGAAGAGCCAAAACATTTGCATGTGTTGGCTGCTTAGTGATGCTTTTAGTAAGGCATTACAAAGAAAGAGATTGGCTAGTTTGCAAGAAGAGATGGGCAGAAAGTCCAGAAAACTGATGTCCTCAAGGTTAGAAATACCAGCTGGTTTTGTCCAAAGAGCAGGAGATCAGACTGTTATGGCTCATAGCCTTTCTCAAAGCCTGCTTATTAGGCCAGACATTAAGCCAAACAAAGGGATGACCCTTGTGTCAACACATATGAAATGTGTTGTCTCGTCATTCCATTCTATCGTTTCATATATCCTTAGGGAAACTTTCATTTAAAATGAGAAAAACATGGATTGGGCAAGGCAGAGACTTATAACTCTGTCTTTGTTACTGGTATATGGAACTAACTAGAAGTGGACATACCTGAAGCCTACTAAGTTTTTGAAGGAATTGTTATTAGCAACACATTTGAAAGGCAGGACATCAAAAGCCCATGACTGTTCAGCACAAATAAGGACCCAAGGAGACAGACTCGACACCCTGTTGGGCGGTTGTGGGGAATGACAGGCAAGGAGGAATTTCTCAAAGGGCAAAGCCAAGAAGCCAGGGAGACACAGGTTGAGCGATCACCCCTAGAGAACCCCCTCCACAACCAGGACAGGGAAGTCCTCACCGTTCTAGAGGATGGACTGGGGTGGAGACTGGAGCTGTCTGTCCAGAATCACATTTCCCAGCTCCCCTTGGAGCTAGACGGGGCCATATGTATAAATTCACCTCTGAGGGATGTGAGCAGAAGTGATATATTCAACTTCTGCCTCTGGTGCTTAAGAGGACATTCCTACAGTCAACTTCCATGTTTCCCCCTCACATTGGCTGGAAGAGTGATAACCTGAGAGAGCCTGGAAGTGTCGTGTTACAGAGAGCTGTATACTGTCATCTGTCTAGGTCCCTAAATGACCCTGTGGAGCTGAGCGATCTACCAGCCTGAAACACTTCTCTTGGAGCTATCAAATGAGAGAGCAATCAACTGAATATTTTTAAAACTACTCTAATTTCAGGTCTTG